AACTTTCCAGTCCAAAGTTCGCTGGCAAAACTCCTACCTCAAAGTCTTTTTGGAGAAGAGGGTGGGAGGAAGGAGGATGGGTAGGGGACGAGGGCAAGGAAAAGGAGGAAGGGAGAGGGAGGGAAAAGGAGGTAAGGAGATCTTATTATTTCCGAAAATGTTAGAAAAAACAGGTATCTGAAGCAGTTTTTTTGAAAACACTTAAGCAAAAAAAAAAACATTTGCTTATTTGTAAATTAAAAAATGATAAGAAAAACCTCTCCCGATAACTGCCAGTGGGAAATTCATCCTTCGTTACTCTTTAAATTTGCCAGAAAATCACCGTCTGTCACAAAGGTAACGATTCCTTCATTCATTTCGATGGTAAATTGGCACTGGCATATGCTCAGGAGTCAGAAGCGCCATTTAGGCTGCCATCATACTTGTCACAACCCTCGAAAAAAAGGCGCCATCCACTGCCTCGCCAACTTCCTGAGTGCCTTCGCCTCTCATAGAATTTTGATTTTTTGACTTCTTCTGTACAGTGTTGATCTCATTGAAATTAAAAAAAAAAAATATATGTGAGTTTTTTTCTTGTTTATATTTTGTCCATCGCTTGATGTTTTCTGTTTATAATGGGTATGATTTTTAAATGTACATGTGTGTTACCGCATAACATTCTGGCATTAACGAGATCTGTTTTACTACTGCACAATTGAGTATAATCCAGATATTACTAAAGTCCGGCTGTATACATCTTGCATATTTATAGCAGGAAGCCTCCCTCTAGTCCTCAACTGTTTCTGGTTCCTAGCTTCTGTCTCCAGCAAGTAAAGGGAGTACTAGTGAAGAACGCAGATGAGCTGCAGTTCCGCTTAGCAAAATTATTTAGACTATAATGTACTACATTAACAATCGAAGGCACCTTCGTCGCGGATTTCCTGAGGTAAGAAATAAGAAAAGCTGTTTTGCAATAAAAGGAAGTGAGATTCCTAAGATAAAGCAGTCCATTATGTAGCGAATAAAAGCAATCTTGGCGGTGTACATGACTGCATCAGGTTGTTAACTGTATAAATGGATGTTGTTTTTCATCTGCCTCGTGAGCTCACTGCCATAAGTCATCGTAAATTTTGCACAAAGGAAAATGAACAATTCGATGATGAGGTGTCCAATTCTTCTTTTGTTTTTCCGCATAGCATATGAAGTTTGCTCCGTGGGAAATGAAGCTCAAATTGGTTGCACCGACTTTCACAAAAAGAGTTAAGCGCTGTTATTTTGATTTTAACAAACTGCCTTCATTTTGTACTTCCTTGGTACTGAATCCTGGATAAACACTGGTGGAGTTGTAATGTTTCTAGCAAGAAGCTGAAAGTAATTGAAAAAAATGGCCAACGCACGGGCTGCCCGTGGAAGATGCGTTTTTTGCAGAGTTCCCCGCAGGTTTTTGTCGCTACCGGCATCGGTTTTTCGGCAGATGCTTCTAGCCGAATTTCAGGCTGACCGCCAGAACTGTCAGAAAAAATCCCCTCAAAATTCCAATCTTCTAGCTTTTCACGTTCTCGGGTAATTAACTTACCCAGAAGGAACTTTCCACGGGCCTGTACGTAGGTACCACGCTTACCCGCGGGCAGGGCCTGAACTCGTTAATACCCACTTAGACAGGGAACACCCCCCCCCCCCCCCC